ACTCGGCGACTGTTACAGTACAACTGAACTGTGAATAGCCTTCGCTTCTCCCTATGTAGCCTCGATCGGACAATACGGGAAAACGGCCACGTAATAGGCACCCTTGTAGCCACGCTGTCCGGTTACGTCACCGCTGTTGATTCGCCTTGCATAGTTACCCGGTTACGGGGCTCGGCTATCTTCGGCTCCGCTCGGCTCTCTTCGGCTCCGCTCGTGACGTCACCGCGCAAGGCTGCCAGGATGCGGGGTGATTACTCGCCTATTATGCGAGCGTTACGTTACCGCTGAGGGGTGGGAGGGGAGCGCTGACCCACCCGCCGCGTCACTGCTGGTGTGGGGGGGGGGCTCGGCTTTTCGCGACATGTCACACTATGATACACCTGTATCACAACAGTAATAGCACCTTTTTCCTGAGTATTTTATTCCATATTCCGTTGCATCCTAGCAATAGGCAACAGTGTTTACTAAATATACATGAGGTATCAATCTTTATTCCAGCAGTAGTATTCTTCAACAGTATAAAACTCTTCTGTGTTCATTATAATGAGATTCTGCCCATTCCATTTTAATTAAATTAAGCATTATGGATATTTTATGCAAGTAGCCCTATAATGTCCATCACTTAACAGCATGAAGTACAAGATTGTTTGTCTGTTAAAGGTGATGATTGGGTGGAAGGAAAGGAACAGCATTTTTTAAATATTTTACTAAAATTGTGGTTTTGTTTCACTGTGTTCTCTTTATTCATTAATTTCCAACTGAAACAGAAGAATGCAATCACCAGACACTTATTACAATAACACACACTTCTGAAACCCATTGATGGAGGTCTTTATTGGAATGGATCTTAAAGAAATGGGTTATGATGGTGTTGACTGGATACGTCTTACAGGCTTTTATGAACACAGGGATTAACCTCAGGGTCCCATAGAATGTGGGGAATGACCAGCTGAGCAACTGTTAACTACTCAAAAAAGACTTCACTCCATGGGTTTAGTATGTCAGCGACTAAAAGAAAATAATTCCAGTTGCCTCACTTTAACAATAGACTATCATTATGAACAAGAGAAAATGTAGGATTACCAAGTTTCTCGATTTTTTCCATCCTCATCTGTATCCTGAAAGATGGCATTGTTTCAGAGACTGGATCTGTTTCGGTCCTCAGGTAAAACAGTGTGGAGGTACATACTCAGTTTCATATGTTAGAAAGAGCTGTTCTCACCACTGGACATTGTTATGGACCTTGATAAAATGCATACAATTGTAAATAAAATAGTTTTTATTGCAGATACTAGTCTGTCTCCCACTCTCATAACATGGATGAGTAGATGGAGAAAACACATTTATATTTTTTATTCCACATTGAAACTCTTACCGAACTAAGTATATTGATTCTGTTCCTGATGTTGTGTGTGTTGCATTGCATTATTTTGACTGTCTGTAGTGTTTTTCTTAGAGTAGCAATGTCTGAATAGAATAGTTTTCTTAGACACTTAACAGATTTTCCGTAAACTGTTTTGCTGTGAAGGTGAAGCCAACATATCCACCACTTACAACGACCACAGCTGAAGGGTACTCAATTCCAACTCTAATTGTTAGTCCTACTATGGAGTTCAAAGGTTTAACAGCTGGGCCATCTCCTCCTGATAGCAATTTTGTAAGTGAACTCTTAGTAAATTTCACTATAAATTCGGGAAAATATTTTGTTTCAAATTTGGGTGCACATGTGAATACATGGGTACATTGCGTATGTTTAATGTGGCAGTGTTTTAATGAATGCAAGTGATGGACAACTTTAAAGTTCACAGAACAGGTAATTTACAAAATATAGGCATGACAACTTGTTAAACCTCATTGACTCTTGTCATATAGTGTTCTCATGACTTTGAAATACTTGTACAAGTATGAATGATGAAGAATCTTCACTACAAAATATTGTGACATGGATGGCGCAACAGGAAGTAGGGGTCACGTGAACTCTGCTTTCTCGTCAGTGACATCAGATACCCCCACTCCTTCCATCATTATGCAACACTCGGTAAACACCCCTCCCTGCTAGGCTGTGACTTCATGCAACAGGCAAGTCCATACAGTGACTATTGCTAGGCAATGCGTAGGTAGAAACACCTGACAACAATACCTGATATCTGTTGCCGAGCAGCAATGTGTTCTCTATGTTGTCCATGCCGAGCCTAAATAAGGAGCAGCGAACACTATTCAGGAGTAGTGAGTATTTAGTTACTAGTATCCAGTATTCAGTATGAGTTGAAGTCCAGCAGCTACGAGTTAAGTTGTATCGAGTGAATAGCAGTCGCCGAGAGCAGTGGAAGTAATTGTGATACTGCCAATGGCAGTAATTGTGAATTCTGCAAGTGTAAGAGCGAATGTGGAATAAATTCGGTATATCCAATACGGCGTGAAGTTATTTGTCGCGTGACACACCCAACACGTGACAATTGGTATCAGAAGTGTCTACGAACTTACACACGCAAAAACCAAATGAAAAAGACATGGAGTCACAGCAGATGTTGGAACTTCTGCTGAAGGAGATAAGAACCAACCAAGAAAAGACAGAGGCCAATAGGAAAACCGACAAAGAAGAAATTAGAACCAACCAAGCTAAGTTGCTGGCCACAATGGAGGCTGACCGAGAGGAGAGGAGAGTCAGCCAAGAAAAACTGCTAGACAAAATGAAAGCCTGGCGAGAAGAAATGACATCGGTTACCCAAAAAGAGACAATGGCAGTAATTGTAATTGTGAATTGTGTAAGTGTAAGAGTGAACGTGGAATAAATCTGTTATATCCAGTACGGCATGAAGTTATTTGTCGCGTGACACACCCAACACGTGACAGTATGTTTAATCTTAGAAGGTGAAATATAAGTTTCCAGCATGGCAGATAAGAGAAGGCTGATTGTTTACCTTTTAGATCAGTTTTCATTGTCAAAAATTATTAGTTTCCACATTGAGGATTCAGAATCTTGTTTTTCAGAACAGAAGAAAAGATTAGTCAACTAAAAGGAAAGCAATAGCTGTACTTAGAGATTAGTTTGAGCTTTAAACATTTAACTGCAAGTTGCATGGTTTGGAATTTTGCTTCCCAGAATGCAAAGGATACCCAAATGGAGAACAATTTGAAGATTCACTTTCCAGTTAGTCTGAGTTATCAAATTATATTAGGATCACTGTCAAAATATTGTCAGCTGCCACTTTCATAACTCAGCATTTTCTTCCTCAGAACATAATAACATTTATTCAGCAAACAAAAAATCAGTAGCTTCAGTTTTGAAACAGTTCTGGCTGTTGAAAAATCACCAACTACCACTTCTGGAGTTACATTTTTTAACCAGTGTCCATAGCTTTTCTGACAACCTCACTTTCTGTTCCCAGACCGACATGTGTGAGGAAAATGGAGCCCTCACTTATGCATATATTAATGTCTAGCACTGATGAGGTCATTGGATTCTTTTCAGTTGGCCTAATCCTTCCAGCCGCACTAGGCCCTGGGGTTTACTCAGCCTCTAACAGAAATGAGTACCAGGAATTAATTAAATAGTTTTCCTGTGGTGTAAAGCACGGCCAGCATGTAAAGTTGACAACCTTACCGCCATCTTTGAGCCGATTGTCTAGATCATATGGGACCCTCAACGTCTCAAAACCCTATGGGCCTTCACGGCCTGGTACAGGGATAGCTTTACTTACTTCGTACTGATATATACAGTGAATTTTGTAAAAGGAAACATGGATGCATCTTTTTTATTAGAAATTCTTTCTTGGTTATATTGGTGACTGCACTGCATTCTTTAATGAATAATTAAATTTGTACATTTTCTATTGTTCACCATCTAAATGTATATTTTTGAAGTTGGCTGTACTCTCATCTTCAGGTGACTGATTGTCATTATACAGACTTTTTTGGCTATTAAGAGCTGCAGTTGGGATTGAACCTGGACCCTGTGAATGTTAATCTTGAACCCAGTCATTGCTATTTATTATATTGTAGTGGACAGTATAAAAGAATAGTATTTCAGTAGGTTCATGGATCATTCAATATAGTAAATAAGGATGTCCCCCCCCCACACACACACGTTATTAGTATTCATAAAAATTGCATGATTGTGATATCACCAAATACAGCAGTTAATATACTTACAACCCCTTTTGTCCTGTTATGTTTGCAAATGCATTTATAAAGGATTTTTTAAATCATTGAATACATATAAATAAGTCATGTCAGTAATTATGTTGAATTTTCTAATTTGGATTTATGCAGGTCAGCTAGTAATATTAGGCTAGTGAAATCTAGGAGAGTACAATGGGCTGAACACATACCTTTGATGCAGGTGGACAAGAAATGTTACCGAATTCCTCTGATAAAACGTTATAAGATTGTAAGATAAAAAGATAAGATGGATCTTAGGAAAATGAGAAGTGGGAGGTGGATAGAAGTGATTCAGAATTATGCCCAGGAGGGCTTTGATATTAGCTTTGTTGAACCACCAAATTCTACTGCCAGAAATTTAGTTAATCATGAAGAGTTCTATTATCTAGGATATAAGGCCATGTAGTCCATTGAAAGTCCATTGACATCTTGGTGGAACATGTCACCTCCATCTTCAGGGTCAAAGCCAAGCAAGAAACCAGCGTGAAGCAGGTGGCAACTGAAACATGGTTGACTTTCAACAGATGAAATGGCATTATATTCCAGAAGATAGAATTCTTCATAACTACTGCTGTGAGAACCTCAGATTTGCTTGGTTAATTGTTATTGGACAGGATATGATCTTGGGTTTCATCTGATGGTATAGAATGAATGATAACTTTTGCAGCGTATATGGGTTATATGTAATTGCTGTGATTAATGGCCAGCAATTTTTGTTAAAATATCTGTCTGAGGTTTCAGCTAGTTTGTAGTTAGTGTGCACACTAATAATGTCTTTTCTTCCCCCTTAGAATGGTTGTAGTCGCATCCTCTCTTAGCATGAGAATTGTTACTGAATCTGAGGTGAAAGTTCATTCATTCATTCATTCATTCATTCATTCATTCATTCATTTATAGTTCCAAAAAAATCCATAGAGGCATCTGCCTCAGATATAGAACAAGTCAATAATACAATATAGCATATAAATATACATACATAATCAGATAGTCATCATCGTCAAAATTTAAATATTCAATACAACAAAACTACTGTACAGCAATACATTCCATATATCAAAATAACATATAAAATTACATATACGATCAAAGACCACCAAGATCCTTAATATAGTAATATAAAATCTATTTTCTTAATATATAATACACCTGTATCATAACAGTAATAGCACCTTTTTCCTGAGTATTTATTCCATAGTCCATTGCATTCTAGCAATAGGCAACAGTGTTCATTTAAATATACATTTTATTCATACATTCATTCATTTATTTATTACAGTTAAAAAATCCACAAAGGGGTCTGCTTCAAAATATAGAAGAAGTCAGCAGCGCAATATAACACATAAATATACATGCATAATCAGATAGTCATCATCATCAAAATTTAAAATACAACACAACAAAACTACTGTACAACAATACATTTCATATATCAAAATAACATTTAAAATTACATACATGATTAAAAGACCGCCAAGCCTCTTAATATAGTAATATAAAATCTATTTTCTTAATATATGATACACCTATATTACAGCAGTGATAGCACCTTTTTCCTGAGTATTTTATTCCATATTCCGTTGCATCCTAGCAATAGGCAGCAGTGTTTATTAAATATACATGAGGGATCAATCTTTATTCCAGCAGTAGTATTCTTCAACAGTATAAAAAGAACTGGTGATAAGAAACTTCTTTAACGCCACTTTAAATCCAGGAATGTCATAAGATAATTGTTTAAGCTCTGGAGGGAGGTGGTTATAAAGTTTGATACCAGAATACCATCCACCTTTCTGAAATATCGTTAAGTTTAC